TTAAGTCTGAAATTGAAGGTTCTTTTTGTTGAGAAGTATGTTGTTCACTTACTCTTTTCATAATAGAAGCAAAATTGTATTCATCAGGTGTTTTATTGATTGGAGGTGTTTTTGCTTTTGTTTTGGTTAATGTAATAAATTTAGTGATTATAGATCTTTTTTCCTCTGGATCTGTAATTTTCTCAATAATATCCAATATTAAATTATCTTCTTGAGTAAGCATATGAAGATTATGTGTAGGTATAGGACAACTACAAGTAGTATCTTTCATTTGATTTGATGATTCTGTGTCTGTTGAGGAGTCTGAGGAATCAGATGATTCTGTCCATAAAAGGTCATCATCTTGAATATGTTCTATATGTGATTCAGTGGAATCTGAAGATATGGAATCATAATTACTGATGTTATATATTTTTGATTTAGTTGAATCATCTAAATGTAATGATTCTATTTTCTTTTTTAATTTGCATTGGTGTTTGTAATGACCAACCTTTCCACATTTATAGCATACTGGAAGCTTCTTTTTATTCTTTGTATTTGGAGGGAATTTGTCTATGAATTTTCTTTTAAACTTCTTATATTGTTTATGTACTTTATTTGATTTAGATTTATCTTTATCTTTTTTATATTTTTTCTTTTTCTTATATAATTTTTCAAGCATATTTTTCCTATCTAGATAATATCCAAATTGTTCACAGAAATCACCAAGTTCTTTTCTCTTGGTAATTTGTTGTTTATCTAGCTGTCTTTTGAGTTTAAGATCAGTACATAAAGCTAATCCTTCAGCACATATTTATGCTAAGAGTTCTCCAAGTGTATAGGCTGAATATACTATAATTCCATTATGTTTCTTTCTAAGTCTATCTTTGACTTTTTCTGCAAATAAGTAAGGTAGACCTGCAATAAATTTTTCTTTCCAGTGGTCTAGTTGACAGTCTTCTCGTATTAATAATCTTGAGAAAAAGACATCCTTATACCATTTGTAATGAGATAATGTAGGACAGCAAAGATTAGAGAGCAGATCTTCTGATCTTGCTGCTAATAATGCCGTACTTCCTACAAAATGAAGTGTAATGGTATATATTAAGGTGTTCACTGCATCACTTTCAGTATAAATTATTTCTTAGTTTTGTTCATTCCTGGTTGTCCATTGTCTAGTATTGGTAAGGATTCTATTCTTGGTTTCATCATCAACATAGAAATCCCACCATCCTCTTAACCAGCAGGTGAATCCATTAACTATTGCTTTAGCAACTTCTTGGTCTGGGTTGCCTGCCATTTTGTTTGCAGAAGCAAACATTGTCATGTGTCTCATGACATCTAATATTTTTAATTCAGATAAACCATCTATTGTCCAATTAACTATTGATCTTCCTGAGTATGACACAACTTGTTGTATAGCATCTTCTTCAAGTTGGACATCAACAGGTGTAGGTCTTTTATGATATGGTAAAGCTGTAATTGGTTTCCAAGTTTTACCATAGGCTATTCTGTTTATATCAATAGGTGTAGTATCCATAAAAGCATTTTCCTGGTTTTGGATAGTATCCTCTATAATTGGTTCTATTTCTTCCTGGAGCATCATTGTTTCATGCTCTGGTATTTTGGATTTTCTTTTATCTGACGATTCTGGTAATGGACTAGGTATAGTTGGTAAAGGAATACTGATTTTGGGAGAAGGAATTCCTTTTATGTCTAATTGAACTAATTTGGCTATTAACTGATCCATTAAGGTTTTATTATTTTCACCAATATGAAATTTATTTTTATTTAATTCTGGAGGTGGTTTAAACAGGACTGCCTTAGGAAGGGAAGGAGTTACTTCCTTTGAAACAAGTCTTTCTATTCGTTCTGCTTGTTTTCCTAGAGACTGCATATATAGATTTGTATAATTATTTTGTTCCACAATATGAGGAATAAGTTCTTGTTTTTACCCTAATTCTTTGGGTAAAACTTTATATGGTGTGGCAATTATATCATATAATGATTGTGGTGGTTCTCCTTTACTTGATGGAGTTACTCCTTTGAGTATTATACTTTTTTCAGGAGGGTGTGTACTAGCAGTAGTGGTACCATTCGTGCTAATATATGTTTTTTCTTCTAAAGTTTGAAGATTATCAAATGAGGGAATATTGATTTTATATTGGATACATATTTCTTTTAACCATATAAAAAATCATTTTGTTTCTCTTTCTTTTTTGAGAAATTTGTTGTATTTTTTATGCATTAGTTCGATTAATCTTGGTTGAAAGGTTTGGATATACCATTTCCTGATATGCTGATTTTCTATAGAAAGATAATATTTTTTCAGATAATCAATATTAATTTTCTTCTTTTTTCTTTCTAGTTTAGCGGCTAAATATGCTGCTATATACTCATCATAAAAAATCCATGTATATTATCTATTTTTGATCTATTAAATATCATTTTAATAGATCATCTATTTCAAAAATATACATTGATACGTCAATCTATAAAGTCGTGGGAGGCAAAGGGCACACAGGGGGATAGGG